GATATATATGCAATGGAACATTATTCACCCATTAAAAACTGAACTCGTAGGCCAGGTATGGTGGTACACACCTTTAATCCCCGCACTCGGGGAGAGGCAGAGGCAGGCAGATCTCTATGAGTTCAAGGAGTTCCAGGACAGCTGGGGCTACAGGGAGATCCTGTCTCAAAAAGATCAAAAAAATAAAATAATAATAAGCAAAAAGCCTCCTCTAAAACTCAACAAAATATACTCCCCCAATAAAACATAAAAAAAGATGTAATTGAAAGGCAAGAGGATGTGATACCCCAAAGAATTATCAGAATTATGGTTTTGACCTTAAACTGTATAAAGATGTACTAAAATACATTTGCCTTTTCTGTTATGGCCTCTTCCTAAATTTACCATGAGGCCTTATTTTAATGGCATGTCCAGCCTTTTGACATTGCAACAGGATGTTTTCATCTACAAAGTTCATGCTCAAGAACCTTGCAATTGAGTCCATTCACGACCCTCCCTCCTGCCCTCCCTCCCACAAACACACACACCCCTTAAGTTTTAAGTTTATGATTCTCTGTTGGCAACATTCATAGCTATCTGTGATGGCTAATCTTGCAAACTTGACTGGATCTGGAATCTACTAATAGGCATGTCTCTGGAAAGACCTGTGAGGACATTCTCTAGGACTGAGTGGTGGTGGCCCCGCCCACCCCCAGCCCACAGAGAGTAGCACCTTGCCTAGGGGCCCAGGTACAAAGGGTTGGAGACAAAAGCAACACTACTTTTGCCTGCCTTCTTTCAGTCCTTCCTGGTGACTGTATCCTTTGGTGATGTCACTATCCAGCCTTCTCCATCTTCCAACTTGGAATGATGGCCAACAGTTCTGCAGGCCTTCAGCACCAGACTGGGGCTGCTGAGGCCTCCAGTCCCATGGATTGAGCAGCTGCTGGTTTTCTGCACCTTAGTGTGCAGCCAGCACTGTGAGACTATAAGCCCCTATCATGTGAGCCAACCTAACATGTCCTCTTGTGAGATATATTCCTTCTACTGGTTCCGTTCCTCCAGAGAGCCCTAATATGCTACCCCTGATGCACTGGCCCACAGACCACCTACTGGAAACCCTGAAGAATATGGTCATGTCCTAATAGTGCTTTACTTTGACTGTACATGATTTCTGTGAAAAAACTGCAACCATATTGTGCTTTGGTTATTTCTACCTACAAAAAAGGATTTTAAAGACTTAACAATTACAATGAAATATTTTTTTTTAAAATAATTCAGAACCTAGGCAACAATTCAAAAATTAGCTAACTGCAAATTAAGACAGATCTCTGATTGGGTCATATACTGTAGAAGTGGATGGACTGGACTTCTGCTAACAGTGTACCACGTACAAATGTGTCACAATGCATGGGGAGACTCAGTGCATTCCTCAAAAGGGAATTAAACAAGAGTGTAAAGCACCAGGAAAAGTTATGTGTGCAGGACGGCAAGATTCTGTCACATTTTGGAGCTTCAAGTACTTTGTGATTGAAAAATCCAGAAATGACTGGAAAGAAGAAAAGAACCAATGAACTAAGATTTCTGAGAAACTGCGAAGGATACAGCAGGCTGTTAGACACTCAAGACTGGATCTCCTTGTGGCTAACGTGTCGGATGTTTGCCATTAACATAAGTTTTTGCAAAGTTGAACAATACTTTTGTAAAAATCAATACTTATAAACCTAAACTTGCCATGTACCCTATTCTAAGGGAAAATGAGTTAATTAGCTCTGGTCACTTTAGAATTCAAAACCATCATAACTGGAAATAAGGACACAGGTTTTCAAGAGAAAGCACAGGCTTTGGGGTGGGGCTCAGCTGTAGAGCACTTATCTAATGTGTGAGGTCCTGGGTTGGAGCCTCAGCACCACCCAAACAGAACAAAAAACTAAAACCAAAATCCAAATTTTTGTGTGAAATACTCCAAATTTTACATTAGCCTCCATTTATAGACACAACTGTGCTCTGAAAAACTGCTTTCACACCATGCAAATTAATCTTTTTCTTATCCAAACCTGACGTCTCGACTGCTGGGCTGCCAGTCAGAGTCTCCGTTTCCTGGATGGAGTGAAAAGCTGACTGGAAAGCAGATATTCGCACTCTTAAGGAATTAGCACTGCGGTCCAGGCCTGGGCTGACCTGTTACAAGCACAGAACACAGAAGAATTATAAATCTGTTTAGTTTCCACATTCTAGGCTGATACTCAATCCTCAACAAAGTGTACCCCGTATGCACAGCTATACGCTGAGTGCACCCCAGATGCATGGCTATACCTTGGCTAGAGTAGAATCTAATGGAGTGTCTGAGCCACACTAAGTGAAGCCTAAAATAGGTACAAAGTGTTTTTACAAAGGTCCTAGACAAATACATTCCTAGTTATTTGGGGGAAATAAACAACACTTAAAAGGATTCTAAGGGGTTTGACCTCTGCATTCAACATCTGAGATGGGATCAGTAAATAGTGCATACAAGGCAAAGTTCAGCATAAAAATGTTTGTGAGAAACCGACCTCAGAAATTATAAGGAGGGAGACACAGAAAACTGAATCCCAGAGTTGAGGCAAGGGAGAAAGGGCAGAATGAGCCTTCGATCTGAAATTCTGTCAAAGGTCGTGCTCACAGCATCCCCTGGAGGTCATCTTCACCCAGGACCTTTACCATGTTACATGCAGGCCACCACCTGCAACCCGGGCCGCTGCTGGTCCTCCTGCACAGGTGCCCTCCACCCCAGGAGGCCGGCACACAGCACACAGGCTGTCCTCCAGTAGCTCTGACCCCCAATTTCACATTACCCTGCCTCTCCCTGGCTACCTTTACCCAATTTTATAAGATCTGGAGGACACTTGCTTCCTCAGAGCTGAGACTCAGCCATTCCCTCAAGACACAGAGAGAGACGGCACAAGCCCAGGAGCTTAGTGGGAACCCTGCTCAAGATGAATTAAGTCCAAGATGAAAAAAATGAAGTTGCACTACCTGAGGTGGAAGTACCAGATACAGGCAAATGGTATAAATTAAGAGTTCTGAGGGCTGGAGAGGTGGCTCAGCGGTTCTTGCAGAAGACCTGGGTTTGAATCCCAGCACCCACATGGCAGCTAACAACTGTCCTAACTCCAGTTCCAGGGAATCCAACAGCCTCTTCTGTCCTCTGCAGGCATTGCACGACATGGATACACTTACCTACATGCAGGCAATTCACACATACACAATAAACATAATAAATGTTTTTAAAATTAAGAGTTCTGATTATATAAAAATAAATTACTGATTAAGCTCTTTATCCAGGTTTTCTTTTATTACTTGGATTACTAACATTTCCCAGGATAAGGAGCTTGTGGCAATCTTAACATCCTCACCAAATGGGCAAAAGTAAAAAACTACCTTTTTTAAAAAAAATATTTTTTGATTATTTTTAATTTATGTGTATGCGTGTATTGCCTGCGTGTAGGTTAAGTGTACCCATGTTGGGCAATGCCCACAGAAGACAGAAGAGGCTGTCAGATCCCCTGGAACTGGAGTTATGGACAGTTTTTAGCTGCCATGTGGGTGCTGGGATTTGAACCCAGGTCTTCTGCAAGAACAACCAGTGTTCTTAACCGCTGAGCCATCTCTCTAACCCCAAAAAACTACCTTCTTTTAAGATATATGAAGAAAATACTGTTAAAATCCCAATGGCATGTTTAGTGATCTGCTCTTATATCTAAATTTGTTCCCAGTTAAACACATATATAAAAAAAACCATCTACTATATAACAGAACATTTTAAACTTAAATAACACTTGATGTAAACCTTTACGACATAAACAGCACATAATATTCCCAACAGGCTTGTGGGCAACTTGTCTACAGGACTGAGACTATCTTAAAGGCACACAATTATCACAAATGTGTGCTTTTTTGGTTTACTCATTTTTAAAAAATATTATTTTTATTTTATGTGTTCTGCCTGCATGTATATAACTGCACCATGTGCATGCAATGCCTGCAGAGGTCAGAAGAGGGTGTTGGATCCCCTGGAACTGGAGTTACTGACAGTTGTCAGCCACCACATGGGTGCTGAGAATTGAATGCAGTCCTCTGGAAGAGCAGCCCGTGTACTCATAGTTGAATATGCTAGGGTTGGTTTAGTATCTCAGGAACTCAGAGCACTCTTACACTCTGTTTCCCTAGTTAACATTCTTTTTGCTCTACTTCCCCCTGGAAGAAGAGAACAGTGTTAATCACCAAAGTAGACGAGTAACTGCAATGCTTTTGCCTCATATAGTCTCTTGGTATAGCAGCATTCCTAGGTACAGAAATTATTCCCATTCCAGGGCGAGATTCTGAGAACATACTGAAGATTCTGGAGACGCTGCTAAGACACTGATGCTGCTAGTGAGGAAAGACTTCTGAGAGGGCATCTGAACTGAAACCACAATGAGAGGCAGTTGATTTGAGAGGAAGGCAGACTGCACAAAATACAAGCTGAGGCCGCTGGTGGAAAGAGAATCAGGGAGGTCTGTGGCCCACTGATTGGAGGTGGGAGTGAGGCCAGAGGTGGACAGGGCTCAGAGCAGGGAAACAGACGTTAGCTTCAAAAGCAATCTAGGTTTCAATAGGAAACCATGAGGGGGTTTCCCAAGCAGAGACAAGGATCAGATTTACTCTTAAACACCTTTCTGCTTTGATCTGTGTACTGTTTATAGGGTGAGGAAAAAGGAGACCAGTTAGGAGGAAACAGTTGGAGACCCTGGCAAGAAGCTACCAGATATGAGGAATTTCACATAAGCTTTTGAAAAGTAGCTAACAGGAGTTGTTCCTGGGCTCTGAGGGAGACAGAAATACAGACTGAGGCGTTGGCCTGAGTGGACTGGAGAAGGTGCCGGGAAACATAAATCTACAGCTCAGTCTTGAGACAGTTTGATGGCTGACCCTGATTGTCTACTTGGGACTAGAATCGTCTAGAAGACAAGCATGTCTGTTGAGATCTTTCCAAAGAGGGAGGGAAGACCCTCCTTGAAAATGGGCGGCACCACCCGGTGGGCTGAATGAGGACAAAGGGAGGGCAGCGGAGGCCTCACCTCTGTCAGGGGCAACATGACCTCACACCACTGCCCCTGCCTGCCCTCCTCACGGGACTGAACTAGAATAAACTCTGTTTCTAAGCTTCTTTTCTCTTGCATCTTGTTACAGCAATGAGAAGTAACTAACACGGCTAGGTTATGCTCGAGATTCTTACCTAACACTCAGTGTCACGACATAGGCAGCTGTTACCTAGACCTGGAGCTCTAAGGATCTCTGGACTGGAGACATTTCAGGGACATTGGTCAACAGATGATGCTTAAAGCGGGGAGAAGGGGCAGAGAGCTCTAGACATATCAGCATTTTCAAAGGAAAAATTGGAAGGAGAGGAATCGGCAAATGAACCAGAAGTGACAAGTGGCATAGAACAAAGTCAGGCTAACATGCAGTCCCACAAACCAAATGAGAATGTGTCTCAAGGACATCAAGCCACAGCTGCTGAAAGGCGAGCAAGGTTAAAGTGGTTGTGTTACGATCCTGTGTGCTGCTCTGAGCTGAGCAACAGGAGAGAGCAGGGCAGAGAACAGGCACGGTGGCACATGCCTGCAATCCCAGCACCTGGGAGGCTGAGGCAGGAGGATCAAGAGTTCCAGACTGGCCTGGACTGTGCTGAGACCCGGTGTCAGTGCCTCTGAATAAAGGCAGGATGGCGAGGAGACACCCGGAGTCAGTCAGCACGGACAGGCAGAAGCAGCTGGAAGAGAGGAGGTGCTGAAAGGGAATGAGAACACAGTGGTCTGGGAAGTGACCCAAAGGAAAGAGTAAGGCAACTGCATAAAAACCCAGCTCAGAACAGCATACAGGATCATAACACAATCATCTGAATGCCGACATAAGCAATCTACTGGAAGACTGGAGACCTTGGGCAGCACGTGAAGAGACAGTTCATTCTATACTGTGCACTGCGGGGAGGGAATGCCAGATAAGATAAGCACAACGGAGTATTAATTACTAAGAGATTCAGAGGCCAAGGAGATGGCTCAGGTAAAAGAGCTTGTTACACAGGCCTGAGGTCCCGAGTTCTAATCCCACTACCCACATAAAAGTTGGGCGAGGTGATACATGCTTGTAACTGCAGTGCTGGAATGGATGGTGGGTAGGCAGAGACAGGCATATGCTGGGAACTTACAGGCCAGCCAGTCTAGCGGAAATGGCGATGAGTTTAGGGGTCTGTGAAGAAACTATCTCAAAAAATAAGGCCGAGAGCAATCAAAGACATCTGATGCCAACCTCTAGACACAAATCCATCTGTGTGCTTGCAATGTAAGACACCTTTTACCCATCACAGGTTTCCCAGCAGCATGCACCGATCATTTGGGAATTACCAGCTCACTGTGCTATACACGTCTTCCAAATGGTGGCTTTTTATTAGGCAATATCCAAATAACTCATTTGTTACTATCCCCACTGATCATGAGGAAGTTGTTAAGTGCACTGTGGTTACTACATGTTTTCTAAGATTCTATTTCCACTTGAAAATGTAAACCTCCTTATTGGTAAGACAGGGTTCAGGGATTTTTTTTTCAGCAGTTTTACTGTTCATTTATGAGACAATGTCAGTTATATTTTCAAGTCCGAAAAACCAGTTTTTCTACTGGTTGTGTGATCTAATAAAAAATGATTCAGCACACTTCTCAAGTGCTCAATACAGATTTCCCATTTCATTACATACCTGAGGGTCCCATAGTAAAATTTATCATTGTTAGTGTTTCAACAGTAAAGTAATACTAGCACTATTCCCTGAGCGTGCCTAGCAAGGGCCAACAAAATGACAGTGACGATGTGGTCACCCATTTCATTACATACCTGAGGGTCCCATAGTAAAATTTATCATTGTTAGTGCTTCAACAGTAAAGCAAAACTAGCACTATTCCCTGAGCATGCCTAGCAAGGGCCAACAAAATGACAGTGACGATGTGGTCACGGGTTCACACGTTAGCAGTTTCATCACTCGTTTTGCTTCTTGCGTAAAAAACATCAACATGGTAGAAAAAACAAAACAAGTAACATTTAGTAAAATTAGAAAGAAAAAACAGTTTTGACTTCTTGGACCTTCTGAAAGGTTGTCAGGGACCTCCAAGGGCCCAAGGAAGTGGAAACAGGAGAAATATTCAAAAAGAAGAAGGTCAACATTAAAACTGCACTAAGAATGGTAAGTTGGACCCATGTTTTTCACAACAAGCCTTGAATTGTTTGTTTTAGGGGCATGTACTATTTTGATAAAATCTGAAAAACTGCTAAATCCATCTCACGCTGACCCAATGCCTCCTGTCCACTCTCTCTGCCCCAACCAGCACAGCTATGAAGATATTACAAACACAGAGAAGCTACTGAAAGAAAAAGGTTGGAGAAAAATAGGCTTCACTCCATTTCATGAAAAAATTAAGTTTATAAAATAAAACAAGAGAGCTCCACCAGAAAGTCATTCCTGCCCAAGACCTCTTAAGGTGGACGCTAACCGCATAGTCCCTACAAGACACAGGCACATTCTCTCCAGATCCAAACCAGAGATGTCCTAGGAAGCAGAACCCTACACAACAGCCTCATAACCAGCAGAACCATTTCCTTGGCATTCAAGAGAACACAGGGAAAATCACCTCAAGGGGGGAATTGTATGCCAGTGGTGATCGCTCAGCATTCTTTAACCTTCTCTGCTGAGCAATGAACCGGATTAGGTGGTTTGTTTCTGGAGAGCCTCGGGCACCAACTGTAGATCGTCGCCTGGCCTTCTTAAGGTAAGACGGTGACTTTCCTGTAACAAAATCCTCTTATGAATCGGAACGAAACACAGCAATGGTCAGTAATCATGCCCTATGCTGGTAATGAAAGAGAAAACATAATAAATACATGCTACAGAAAGCTAAGTAGAGATGAACAGCAAAATGCTCATATATGAACAGAATTTTTACTATTTAATTCATATTTCTAGAACAGAACCTGGCATGCAGAAGGCATTTAAAGTTGTTGATTGAATACATGAATACACTTGAGTTTTCATTTGTGTTCCACAGTTCCTATACTGGGGGAGGGGGGTGGTTAACAACTTGATGTTGACTAAGAATCTCTCTGTGATTATGAAGGAAAGGACCTTCACCTGTGTACCTTTACAACTGTGTCTCTGCCATGATTTCAGTGACCTGCGGGCACCCAGGCTGAAAACATTACATGGGAAAATTCTAAAACAATTCACATTGCAGAGCGTCTACAATGTATATTCTCCCTACCTATTAGCAGTTGTGGTTTGGCAGTATTTATGTTCAGGTAAACTTAACTAAATAGTGGACAGCCAAAACTGAAGAGCAGTGACGCCACAAAGAAATTATTCCTGTAAGTGGTAAGGTGAAGTGCAATACAGCATTTAGGCAAAGAGCGTGGGGCGGGGGGAGAGGGGGCAGAACATATATTGTGATGGTTCATATTGACTCTAAACTTCACTAGGTTGAGAGTGACCAATTGGATTAGTAAAACACACACCACTGGGCATGTTCAAAGATGACTAGACTATATCTCTTACTGTGCCTAATTTATAAACTAAGTACAATCACTGGTATATATGCACAGGAAAAATCAGTACATTCACGTTTTAGTTAAACCCTCTGTTCTGGAAATCCACCAGGGTCTTGGGAAGTCGTCTCCATGTTGGGTATATGGGAGGGATGGACGCCTGCATCCTCCAAGACAGTTCTTTTTCTCCAAGATAACTTACCTTCAGCATACTATCCTAAATTTTGCCCCATGCCTATGCACACAAAACAAATCTAGGCTCTTCTAGGACTCGGTGATGATTCTGGGCAGCACAGAACCCTTTGGCGAGGTCCCATTCAAGCTATGAGTGGCTCCTCTGGTGCTGCGTTATCCTCCTTCATGTTCTCTAACTCAGGGAACTCCATTCCCATGTTTCCTTTCTCTACCTAGGTCAGATTTCACAGGTGAATTTCATTTCTGAGACTTGAAGGAAGTCAGTCTCTAAGTCAATTTTCTGATTGTGATTTTTGAACAAGGCGTACCCCAACCTGTCATGTTTGTGATCTTTCGTAGTTGCTCCCCAGCTTCCTTCATTTTTGACATAAAATGCAGGACTGTTCAACTTACACTTCCTCTTGGGTCTTGGGTGTCAGGTCATATGTTATTTTCCAAGGTGAGCATAAAACACAACTGACTTAGGAATACTACAATGCTGGGTGCCCTAGGACCCTGCGGCTCCCAGTATGTTAGCAGACCAGTGCATGGGTGCTAGAGCTCTGCAGACTCAGAACAGGTAACAACAGTAGTAAATCAGTAGACTTGCAAATGGAGTTCAACTAGTTCATTTTAAACTTAGATGGCTCAGCAATGGCTGCTCTAGCAGAGAACCTGGGTTCAGTACCCAGCACCCACATTGCTGCTAACAACCATCCAATAACGCCAGTTCCAGGGAATCCAAGGCCCTCTTCTAACCTCCATGGCATTGCACGACACGACACTGGTACACTTACATATATGCAGGCAATACGCTCATACACATAAAATAAAAATACTATTTTAAAAAGTGCAATGCAAGAGAACTCTTACCTGACGGGGGCTTAACAAAGCTTTCTGGAGTTATTCCCAACTGCTCTACAGTCACTGTATTAAAGTCTAAAGGTGACTTAAAGGTATCTGGGGTGCAAGGATCAGGCATCACGAGCTTCCCGGTTCCCAAGATAAAAGAGGCATTTTCTGAAAAACAGACAATGGGTAGTATAGCTTAGGGAGACGATCAAGACAAAGCCTTAAAGCTTCAATTGCGCAAGAGCAATAAGTCGGCACATACCGGAATTATGAACGGCACATTCCTGGGATGGGGGGAACTGCTTGTCATGAGAACTGGCATCCATCTGAAAGATGAGGGGTTCAAAACAACAAAGAACAAATAATGAAAAATAACCGTGTCCCACGTCAAAACGAATGTGACTGGACAACAAATCAACTTCGAGTCTGAATTCGAATGCAACTTGCAATATGGGCATGGCTGCATTGAGGATTATTTTGAGTTCGTTTTATACAATGGGAGGAAGGTGCTCAGGATGGAACAAGAGCAGACCTCACTAACACGCGTGGGCTTCGCAACCCCGGGCATAGGGCCTTCCAGGCATCAGCAAGCAGGTGAATTCATTTCCGGAAGCTCTCACTGAGGGGGTCGGAAGGGCCCCGGAAGTGTGCACCTTAGAGTGCAGGTGATAAACCCACCACCCCGGGATGGGGTCAGCCCGAGGTTCCGATCCCATGCCGAACACCCTGGCCCGACGGCTGGCCTACCTCTCCTAGGAGCCTGCGGCCCGCGCGTCCCCGCGGACGATAACCAGCGTCACGCTAGCGGACCTCTCACCCTGGCTAGGCGATCCGCAAGGCCCGCTGCAGAAAGCACCCGAGGCGCCGGGAAGCAGCCGGCCTGCGCGACGCGGGGTCCGGGCCTCACCACGTCCAGGGCAGCAGACCAGGCCCACAGCGCAGCCCGCCGCTCGATTCAAACCGTGGCCCCGCCCCTCGCGCACCGCGGCAGGATCTCTCCGCGCCTTCCGGACAGTGCAGCCCGCGCCTTGCAGACCGCCCCCCGCCCCCCGGCACGGAGGGAAGACCTCCGCGGCTCCGAGAGGACCTACCGTTCGCTCCGAGCCCCCGACCGGAGGCACCAGCGCTACGCGGAGTCCTGGGACTACTTTCTTTGAGTTGCGGAACAACACGTCAGGTAGCCTCAAAGCCCCGCCTTCCACCTTTGGATTGGCTGCTGCAAACTTCGAAAACGATTTATTCGACCAATCCTGACAGAACCACGGGCTGGCTAGTTTACTCAACCAACCAATCCCGACAGCAGCCGTTTTCCAGGTGGGTTGGGCCAGAGGGAGGGGCTAAGGCGGAGCGAGGCGCTGACTGGTAGGTGAGCCTTCATCGTCCCGCCTCCGTCCCTAGACCCCGCCTATTTATGCAAATGACTCTCGCCAGAATTCAGCATGCGCCTGCTCAATAACTCATAGAGCGTCCGTTTGTCTGTTGGTTCTGCTCTGATTGGCTGACACCCCTTTCCGTCTCTCAGCCTTAGGCCTATCTTCCCGCCCTCCACCCCGTCTGGGGTTCCTTTGAGCCCACCCCATACGGAGCTCTGACTGGCTGAATGCAAGCCGGCTCCGAGAGTCGATTGGCTCAGCTCGGTGTCGATCCGGGCGCGCTGGGGGAAGGGCCGCGGGCAGGTTGCGGCGCCTAGGGGCGGGGTGGGAAGGAAGACCCGCCAACCCCGGGGTGTGGGAGAGAGAGCGTGCGAGTGGAGAGTGGGCCCGAGTGGGAAGGTGGCGAAGGGAGGGGAGTCGGGGTGGGAGGCGGGAGGGGCCGGACGGGAGGAGGGGCCGGCGGGTGGCGGGCCGGGCGCGAGGGTGGCGGCTCCGGCGGGACCGGGCGCGGGCGGCGCGATGCGGCGGGGCACCCTGTTCCTCAACGGCAGCCCGCGGAACGGCAAGGTAAGAGGGGCCGCGGCCGAGGGGCGCGCTGGGCTCGGCCGAAGTTGGCGGGCGGGAGGGGCGTGCGCCCGACGGGGCTCCGGGAGTCCAGTGCGGTGGCTGGCGCGGCCTCCGGCGACCTGGCGTCCGGGCCCCGCCAGCGCATGTTCCACCGGGGCCGCGCTGGTCGGTCACCTGGGCGGCCGGCCGGGGATCACCCCCCCCCCAAAACCGCCCCTTCCCGCGGCGCCCGGGCTGTCCCTGCGGGTGCTGAGGAATGGCCAGCCCGCCCGGAAAGCCCTAGGGATGCCTAGAGTGGGGGACCCGGCCAGGTGAGGATGGAGCGCTGGGCAGATGATTGACAGCGCCGCAGAGGGGTCAGCAGGGCTGCGCGTGCTGACGGCCGTGCCCCGCCCCCGGGTGCCCCAGTCCCCCTGCCCCGCCGCAGTGCAAACTTGTGCACGCGATTTTGTGCCGTCGCCTTGTTTTGATTCCTAGTGGACGGTGACAGCCGACTAGAAGGACTTGATTTGACAGTGGACTTAGCTGCCTTTAGGCCTCGATTGGGAGGGCGTGGCGCTAAATATTTTCCGCGACCCTGGAGCCTGTCCCAGTGAGTCCTGTCGCCCCACCCAGGAAAGTTGTTCTTTGGAAAATGTTGAGTGCTTGAGGTTGACTTGGAATGTGGTTAAATGAATACATGAGTCACTGAGTCTGTTTTAAGGCTCAGGTCAAGGTAGACTGGCCTCACTATGATTGCCAGAATACTTTGATTCTTGCACATTCCGGAAAAGTAAACTTTTAAATAACAAAACTGACCAAACAAGGGCATGAAAAAACAGCTTTTCAGCCACTTTTCAATTTGGAGTAAACACTCTGGAAATCGGAACCACAGTGCGCTGCAGTTTGGTGCTCTTGAAGATTTGATAGTCATAGGAAAATAGAGTCAGCCCAAGTCCTACCAGGGCTTCAGTAACGAAGGTTATAGGTGTTTCTGAGCATTAACTTCTTAGCCAACTTTGTAGTTAGCTAAGACTCAAACTAAAATGTATGCCGTTATTTGAAGATTTATTATATCCAGTGTTAGAGCTGAATTAAAATGTCAGTGTTGTTTCTCCATGAAGTCAAAATGTTTAGACGCAGTCATAAATTCTTAACTGTGCTCTAAATCTCTTCTGAATCCACTGAATTTTGTTGTAAAAACTTGAGTTGCTTTTTGCAAATTAAAAATTTTTAAGCTTACCTTTTTACCTTAGTTTTATTTACTGAAAATCATTTCAGTCTTAAAAGATTGGGGAAAGTACATTTCAAATAATTATAAGTGCGTATGTTTCGTGTGCAAAGATCATAGTGGTCTGAAGTGGAGATACCAGCTTGATTTAATATTGAAAAGAAATTACACCCTAGTCCTTTCTGCATAGCTCCAGAGCTTATGTTCTGAAGTGGATTCCTCTTAAAAGGACTCATTTGACAAAAGGTCAACAGTACGTAGCAACTTGCATTTATGTATGTTATGTAATATGTATACATATGTAGCAACTATTTAATCAGGGTTGGCATGATCATGACTAGGATGCTCATGAAAATATGCTCCAAAGAAGTGCTATTCTGAAACAATTTGATTTCCTGTCTGTTAATTAGAATATCATTTTACCTTGTCTCTTTATTTACCTACTTTCTTCTTTTATTTCCTGGTCATGAGACTATTCTGTTTCTCCAAATGGTGTTTCCTCCTGTACCTTGCTTCCAGGCTGTCCTCCTGGGCCCAGGTGGGAAGGCACACACAGGGCCCATATCATGTCTCACTGTGCATTTCCTGTGGGTGAATAAACTTGTTAACTGATCAGTGCTTTTCATGTTGCTGAAGGGGTCTGCCTGAGGGAGATGAGGGATCCACAGAGGGGATAAGATGATCCTTTGGGGTTTAGAAGGAATATATATTATTTATATTTTTACTTAAACCATAAAATAATACTAAAACTTGATCTTTCTAATCTGGAAAAGCACAGGAGCTTCTAGTCACTGAACATGTGGAGCTGGTCTAGTCTTCTTCCAGGAGAGGCCTTCCCACAAATGAAAAGGTCGATAGCCCGCAGCTTATTTGCCAATTGCTTGATATGATGTATAGAAGCTTGCAGGCACTTCTGCTGAGGTTTACATCATTCACTCTTAACTGAATTAACCCTCATGGAAATGTCAAGTGACTCTAAAAGATTACCTCCAAGAAACTACAGGGTGAAGCCAGCATTGATTAGGAAGCTCAGTAAACACTGAGAAAGCTCGGTGGGTGCTGTGTGTGGTTCCTCACATCCATGATAAGAGTGACAAAAAAAGGATACCAGAAGAGTGCCACGGTTTAAAAAGACTATTTGAAGTTTGACTTAATAGATTCTATTGGCCGGGCGTGGTGGTGCACACCTTTAGTCCTGGCACTCGGGTGGCAGAGGCAGGTGGATATCTGTGAGTTCAAGGCCAGCCTGGTCTACATAGTGAGTTCCAGGACAGCTGGAGACCCTGTCTCAAAAAGACCCCACCCCCCAAAAAAAAGCTTCTATTAACAGTCAACCTCTCCCTTAGTGGATATTGTTCTTTGTGTTCTTTGAACTATTAGCCTGTGATACTACAAGGTCACCCTAATTATGAAGACATGTAGAAATAGTTTCCTGCACATAGCGGCAAATGGCCTTGGAGTATTTTTCTTTTAAAAATCTTTTAGGGCAGCTGGGCATGGTGGTATATGCATTTAATCTCAGCACAAGGAAGGCAAAGGCAGGTGGATCTCTGTGAGACTGAGGCCAGCCTGGTCTACATAGCAAGTCTGGTCTACATAGGAAGTTCCAGGCCAGCTGGGACTACAGGAAGACCCTGTCACAAAAAACCAAAACAGGGTCTGGAGAGGTAGCTCAGCAGTTTAGAGCACGTAACTTGGTGGCTCTTGCAGAAGACCTGGGTTCAATTCCCAGCATCCACATGGTAGATAACAACTGTAACTCCAGTTCCAGGGAATCTGACACCCTCTTCTGACCTCCATGGGCATTGTATGACACGGGAGCACTTATGGACATGCAGGCAATAAACTCACACACGTAAAATAAAAATCATACCAAATAAAATATTTTTTAAAAGAAAAGAAAACAAAAACTTCTGGGGCTGGAGAGTTGAGGCAGTAGTTTTAAGCAAAAACAGGACCCCAGGAACAAGCTGGCTACCTAGCTGGCTAGACTAGCATATGAGTCAGTCAAGACACCCTCCCCCAAGAAGGTGAAGAGCAGTTGAGGAGCACTCCTGACATCAACCTTTGGCCTCCATGTGCACACAGGTCCATCTGTAGACACACATGTGCCCCCACACATCCATTGCCCCCATCACACACACTTGAAAAAAAAATACCTCATTGTTTAAACTTGAGCTTATATTTAGCAGACTCTCATCAAATTTAATGATAAGTGTTTAAAAAATTCTTCCTGGCCAATTCATAGTGTGAGTAGATAAAAGTGTCATTTGGAAAAGCATTTTCTTTTCAGACAGTGCCACACAGTTTACAGTTAAATACACAGCTGTTTGAGCACATGGCAGGGGCTGTTATACCAGGGGCTGCATGGTCAGAAGCATTTGAAGACCAGAGTCCTAAAACATTGCTGTGCTTAATAGTGAGAGGATATTGTTTGAATTGCTCCCAAAAGGTCGGTTATGCTTGGACCTTTCGTCCTCTCTCCACATGCTTCATGGCTGCCATTGTTCCTGCAGTATTTCATGTGAGGGTTGGCATGAAGCCATGAAATGAAGACAGACACTTAAATGTGATGTATGGCTGAGCAACGCAGAAGAACGGCCAGGAGCGAGCCGGCCAGGAGCGAGCCGGCAGGCCGTAGGCTTCGTGTACAGTATTCATTCACTGTGCACTCACCAAGTACTTCCTGAGTGTGAGCCTCCAAGCCAACTGCTGGTCTGCATTGTGTGCTGATGTTCACATTCTTGGTCCCGAAAATGACTGTCTTCTAACTTTGCTATTAGTTTAAAATATGCTGTTGGCATTATATATTCAGATCTGAACCCAGTACATTATTAGTGGTGAAGAAAAGTAAAAATCTGCCTCTTGAAATCCAAGCATCAGTAAGAGCTGAGTTCGTTCAGCTTCTTTCATAGTATGTTTGATGCGTACAAAAGAAAGCGATACACACTGCTGATGTGCATCAGGGTGAAAGGAAGCCAATAAAAGCCACTCATGAGTCTTGTGTTTCTTTCTTGCTATGTTTTGGAATTGAATTCATTCATTTGATGTATTGTTTGTCTCAGTGATAATGGTGCATTTTCACTGCTTTATTGAAGCCCATTATACTAAAACAGTACCACAGTGTATCTCTTCTATCAACAAGCATGTGGCTGTTGATCTTCTTTATATTAACGCGCTGTCATTCATGTACGTCCTGTGTATGTACTCTGGTGCATACATTAAGGGGGCAGTACTTTATGCCCAGAACCATAGAGGACTTGAGAGAACTTGAAAGTGCTGCTGTGCTCCATCCCCAGGAGGGCTGAGTGAGCTGGGGTATATATTTCTATGAAATTTCTTGGTGATTCTAACATTATAGATTCTGGGCCACATCTTTGAGATATGTGACAGGTGTAGTTATTGGGTATTAGAGTGTATAAATATTCATTTTAAAATATTTTTATTCTTTGAAAAATGTGTACTTTATATATTTTAATCATATTTACCCACCGTTACCTCCTTCTGACTTCCCTTCGGGCCCTCAAACATCTTCCCAGCTTCATGTCCTCTTTATATTTTTTATTTTTTAAATTAATAACCCACTAAGTCCAACCAGTGCTGTCTGTGCATACATGAGTTAGGGCCATTCATTGGCATATGGGCAGCCCCCCAGCAACCATGTCCCCAAAGGAGAGTGATCCCCCCTTAGCAAACATCAGCTGCCAGTAACTCTTCCACCAAGGTGCTTTTATTCAAACAGGGTGCTTGTGTTCAAACTCCTTTCTTTATATATTTTTTAATTAGCTTACAAACTAGTGGATTTCCATAAAGCTTCTCCATACATCCTTAGTTTTGGTTAACCTGTGCCCTTTCATCTGGCCTCCCCTATCTCCTTATCCCCATCCCCACTTACACCTGTAGCCCCTGTTCTTTCATGTCACCTGTGTTCTGTCCTCTCCCCCCACCCCCAAGTATAATCTTGAGTTAGGTTGCAAGATCTTAGGTTTCTATGTAACTTTTCTTGAACCTTTCATTTTAGTTAAGGCTCCGCCCATGCCCTCGTGTCCCCCCACCCCACCAGGTGTTCAATTTTATGAAATAATTACAAATCGTTTTTTGAAGTCATTGTGGTATATTATATTCCCAGCAGTAGTGCACAAATCTTCCCACTGATTATCTCCTTCCCAGAATTTCATTTTTTAATAGTGTCCTTCTTGACCATAGAAGTAGTTAGGCCATATTTTCTAGGAATAATATTACTTCAATTTTTTAACTCTATTAAAAGAAAAATGAGGAGCTGGAGAGGTGGCTCAACAGTTAAGAGCGCTGGCTGTTCTTGCAGAGGACCCAAGTTCAGTTCCCAGCACCCATGGCAGCTAATAACAATTGTAACTCCAGTTCCAGGGGATCGAACACCCTCTCTTCTGGCCTCTGTGGGCACAGGCACATGTTACATATATGTAAGCAAACACTCATGTACATTTTTTTTAAATCTTAAAAAATGTCCTGATCTGGGGACATTTCAGATTAGGGGTACTCACCTAGTAAATTTTTAATGCAAACATTAAAATAAAAGTCTGGAACACTTCTGGTACCAAGCGTTTTGGGTAGAAGAGTTTTCTTTATTTCTGTCTTTTTCCAGTAGAGTTCTCATGAAGAAACTCCTCAGCAGCTGTAAAGTTTTGCCATGTGTAAGACATTATACTTTGATAAGTTTTTAAAAACTGCTTTCCACTTTACATAGAATGCAGAGACTTCAGATGTTCATACTATAATGCGGTTCTGTATTTAGTACTGTAGTTTACACAGATGATTCTAGGTTGATAAATGCTGAGTAACTTAATGTGAACAAATATCCCTGCCCAACTGGAGGGAACTTTAAAATTCATAGAACTCGATGATTCTTCAAATTGGTTCTGTTTTCTCTACTTGACAACCCTCTGGTTATTTCACTTAAAGGAAATTGTTGGTTACTAGATTGGCAACTATTTAATTTCTTTAAAAAAGTGTTAGCGCATAGAGACTTTTAAAATAGATTAAAATGTTTCCCTGTCTCTGTTTAAGTAATACAGATTCTTTGTAATAAATTTGGAAAACAAAGTTAAAAAATCACAGTAAATCAGGCTTTATGCTCTTATTCAAAGATAGTTACTTTCAGTCATTTTATGAATGGTACTCTGAAGTTGCTGTTATACTGTGTACTTTATTTTTCTACTTGAATATCAGTGAAAAGACAGCTATCGTTGATACACACAAAAAAGTTGTGACCTAGTTCAGCGCTCTGAAAGTACTGAGATTTCATTCAACATTCAAGAAATATTTGAGCTTATCATGAATTAGGTAATAAAATATTTAGTTTAGTAGAGCCTTCCATTTAAATGAAGCATTCACTTTCTTGATTTCAAAGACTAAAGTGGTACTTTTTATTTGTTTTTAAGTCTAGGGTCTCACTGTGTAGTCCAGCCTGGCCTCGGACTCGGTCCTGCATCTCACTCTGCCTGGCAGCTGGGATCACTGCCCTGCTGTGTGTGCCTTTAGCGCTGTTCGTAAGCTTTATTGACAGCAGTTGACTGGCTGTGTTCACAAAGTTAATAATAACTTAAAATTTTGTTTTTAAATTTTTACTTCATGTGTATGAGTGTCTTGTCTGCCTGTATGTAAGTGCACCCATGTCCTGCAATACCCACAGAATTCAGAAGAGGGCGTTGGATCCTCTGGAACTGGAGTTAGAGATGGTTGTTACCTACTGTATGGGTGCTGCGAGCTGAACTCGGTCTCTGCAAGAGCAGCCAGTGCTCTTAACCATTGAGCCAGCTCTCCAACTCCTTAATAGCTTTTGACCGAAACTTTTCCATTGAAACTTTAGAGTTTAGATAGAAAGTCAGATTAGAAAATAATTGGTGAGGCACCTGGGAAGATTGATGTGAGTTTGAAGTGAGCCTGAGCAACATAGAGTCCCAGGCCACCGGGTTACAGAGTGAGACCCTGGCACAAACACAAGAGAGAAGAGGAAAGAAGGGGAGAGAGAATGACTGGCGAGATAATAAACTGTATTGCTGCAGTGTTAGACTGACTTATATGATAATACTATAAACTTGGAATTCGATTTATACTTAGATTCCTGAGCAGTTTTCCAGCCTACGAGACAGTGCCTATCAAGTTTGACTGCCTTGTAAATAGACCTAAGTCTTTATGGGGAGTTTGTTCCCTGTTGCGTAGTCAAAGTTGATTTCATGGGGAAGGCAAGGGAGGATGGCAGTAACCACCTCTTAGTTTGCTGCTGCAGGGAAGACCTACTAGGCATTTCATCACTCCTTGCTTTACCCTGTTTCTTGGAACAGCACTGTCCAGTCAAAATGTGATGGCATAAATAGTTGACAGGTGTGCTGTTGAATACGGTAACACTAGCCAGAGGGGCAACAGAGCACGTGACATAAAAGTAGTGTAACGAACTGCATTTCTTAAGCTTTTAATTTTAAAATATTGAAATTGAAATAACTGTAGTTAGTGGCTTATCTTTTAGACAGTGCAGCATTAGTGTGTGGTGACTGGCCTTTTCATCAGAAACAACCAAAGCATCAGTAGAACCAACTCAATCATACGGAAGTAGACACCAGTTTAATTTGATGGGTTTTGAAAAAGGTCATGATAAAAATCTTACTATCTAATGTGTTAATACAGGAGCTTCTGACACATAGATGTGTTAGTGCTGCATCCATTTCATGGTTCCCAACTATGAAAGAAATGCTGAGAAAGTTGCCATCAAGGAGGGAGAATGTCAGCCACCGGAAGCAGTACGGAAATGCACAAGGCGCAGCGACAGCTAGGGAGATAGGGAGACTTCGAAGGCCTTGGCATATAGCAGCCATGATGGGTGTGGTTGTGTTTGGAGAAGAGCGACTCTTGTGTTCCCTCACAGCACCTCTGCCTGTCATTCTGCACGGCCTCGGCGGTCTTGGCCCTTCCATTGCATTTTTCCTTTCTGTTCCTAATTTTCAGAGATCTTAGCCGACAGTGCTGCAACTGTGTAACTCAGCCACCGGGAACCCAGTTAGAGCTATGACTGGGGACAGCCTCCACTACAGACAGTAGTCCACTTCGTGCTTATGCCATTGCATGCACCTTTACATTTGCCTGATTCATTGCAGGACAGACTAGTTTACTGTCACCCAGTTGTGTTGTATTCAGAGCGCTAGATGCTAAAATCTGGCTTATATAAAATAATAGTTATTGAAAAATTAATGAAGTGGGAAGTTAACTTCTATGATAGTTTATGTAGTTAATGGCATAATAAACAGCATTAAACCCTTCCTATTCTAAAAATGAGTCATTCCTATAACAAAGGATTAATATAAAACAACATGAGAAGGACTTTAGGCACAGAGGTCCTGGGCACTTTGTTAAGCTGTTAGGTGTTACCATATTTCCTAATAACGTCTGAGGTAGACGCTGCTGTTTTCTTCATTGCTAGTTAAAGCAACAGTAAAGAGTTTGTCGCCAATTGACAGCTAGAAAATGTCACAATCAAGATTTAGGTGCAGGTCTCTTTTCAGAATTAGATTAGTGTTGAACATTGAGATTCTAGGTTGGTTTTGGTTGGCTGTAATTTCTTACTCTCTAGTTTTGAGTTTTTATAGTATGAGGTACAAAGTAAGTATGTATAGGGTATTGTTAAGAATCTCATACTGTGATTCTTTGATATTCCTAGTCCTGTTTGTTGTAGTATAATGGTAATTCTGTCAAGTGTTGAAATTCATTGTATAAGCTATTCAAATTAATCTGGTGTGTTTGCAGGTGGTTGCTGTATATGGAACTTTGTCTGATTTGCTTTCTGTGGCCAGCAGTAAACTCGGCATAAAAGCCACCAGTGTGTATAATGGGAAAGGTGGACTGATTGATGATATTGCTTTGATCAGGTAACCGTCACCTTTTTATAAGCTGTCAACAGTGTGCCCCTGGCTTCTTGGTGTTATGCTGTTTCTCTTACGCTGTAGTTTCATCACTTGTGAAGACAGGGTTTTGAAGTAATGATCCAGAATTAACTTTGGAGTTTAAATCCCCCAGGCTTAAAGTGTGTTGATTAAATAGAATTCCTCAACATATTTCAGTATAGTGATAGTCTCTGCATAGGTCCGATATGGAAATAAGATTTTCTTCTTTATGGTAATTTTTTATTTTAAAAATCTCTTGTAGGCAACTTCTCACTGTTAAATTCATTTCCTAAGAATGCTTTGAATTTTATAAACACCACAAAGAGCTAATTTTGTGAGTACATGCTGAATGTGATAAAATTTGAACTAGAGAGAAAAACACTAGCGGTCCTCCACAATGCTGCTTTCTGAAGCCACGTTTTGTTTTTTCAATGCCCCAGCCAGATTATCGCTTTAAACAGGTGTCAAGTTGACGTCACTCCTTCCTCAAAGAGTGAGACAATTTTGGAGCAGGAGGAAGTTTTAACAAAAAGATGGTAAAGAAAACACAAAACTTAAGTAGAGTGTACTGGCAACATAATTGCTTTGCTTGAGTTACTTCATTTAGTTGGCAAAGCATGAGTTTTGAGAATTGAAGGTGTGACAATAGTGATACTTTCCATGATGTTGTGTATAAAGATTAATCTGCATTCAAATCCAGGACAGAAAGCCTTCAGTTTAATATATTGCATTTGAAGGCAGTTGGTTCTAGTCCCTTCATTTTACAAACAAGGAAACTAGGCATCTGAGAAGTGAAGGGTTGGCCAGAGCAGAGGTTTACCAGTTGGTTTTTGTTCATGAGTTTCATATTCATCTAAAAAGATTAACTAGCATGATGAGTAGGTTGGAAATATAAGTTGCATTGCAAGACTAAAGTAGAATTTCCTAGTTTTTCCTCTGTCTGTCTCCCAGCCTCATTTTTAGTTTCTGTGGGTGCTTGGCTAACATCAGTGAGTGATGTCCATCAGCCTGATTTTCAATCACAGACTTTCTCTCCAAGAAAAACTCAGGGTATTCCTGTGATGACCCATAAAATAGCCTCTATCAGATAGATGGCTGTGACTGACCAAAGCCTATAAGATGAATAGGAGGTCACTGAGTGACAGTAATAATGGGAAGGTTGGGCAGGGGAGGAGTTACACTAATAATCCAGAAGGGTAGGTGATCTGAGATATTTAAATTTGGGGGTGTGGTGGATATGTGCACCTGGGCATTTATGACAGAGTTGCTTTGGGTTTTATTTTTCTTGAATGTAGTACAAAAGTTTATCTTAATATCTAAAGTGCACAGCAGCTAATGATTGGAGAAAGCACCACAGCAATTTATGTAGGGTACAGAATGAAAAGAAAACGGAAGCTGACAGGCTTCAGGTGTGTCTTCTGAGCGTAAAATAGTCCGTTCTTCAATCATAAGGAAGACAAGTTCACAGCATTTCATAGTGGGTTCTGCCTTTTCCATCTCAGAAAGTACTTTGCTGCACAGGATCTTACTGGAATTTAGATCCAGTTGGGGTTAAACAGAGCACTGAAGACAGCTTCTTTGTAGGGAGCTCAGTGACCAAGCCTGTCACCTGACTAGTTCTAAGTAGTTGCGATAGTCAACAGCTGATCAATGTGGTGTCTAGATTTTGATGGTGGCTTTTTAAATTTTGGTTTTCCCAGGGATGATGATGTTTTGTTTGTGTGTGAAGGAGAGCCATTTATTGGTAAGTGACTTTCTTAAAAGCCAACTTTGTTTGCCACAGTGAAAAAACATGAAATGGTAAATAATTCGAGGAGTTATAACGTCATGTGACACTGATGATACTCAGCTCTTCACATTCTTTTTGATTCTGATTTATGTAAAATTTTACTTTTAATTTGTTGTGTAATCATATGCTTTCTAGGAATCTCTTACATGCCTTTAAAATGCTCTAGATTTGTACATATTTATTAACTATGACATGAGTAGGTTATTTTGATTTTTGGTAACTATAACTTTTATTTTAAAATTTATTTTTGATAGTGATTGTTAAAGTTTCTCCTAGTTTATCATTTATTTGTAACTAGGTATTCCTGCATAGTGTTTGATAGCCCTTTACTGCTGATCAAATCTTACCAATTAAAACATGACCTGGCTTCAGTCTCTACCCTTTCATTTGAAAGAAAGGGTATATAGTCAAATAGAAATAAAAGAAAAAGCCTATTGCGTAAGTCAGCAGATATTTCTTAAGTATTTTTTTATTAGTTTCATGCAGTTTATGTCGATTATACAGTGACGCTTTTGGAAAAGATCCTTACTTTAGTGGGTGTGTGCTTACATATTTTTAAAGTATTATATTCACTGTGTTCGGTGAGTAGAGATGATTCTCAGGGTCTTTGCTTTAAGCCATTTGTCAAATTAAAAGTACATACATTGTCTTCTCTGTCTCCTTAAAGCTTTTCTTCCTCTCACACACCTACCAGTGGTTGGCAGACGGTGGTTAGTTGACTTACCCCACACTAGCAAATAAGTCATTCATTAAATAATAAAAAGTCAACCTGGGTTATTGCTCAAGGGTAGAGCCAGTGCCTACTGTGTTGAAGGCCCTGAGTTCAGTCCCCCAGTGCCAAAAATAAAGTAATAAAAAGTCTATTAGAGGGTTTTTTTGTATATTACTATGAATTCTTAGATTTAAGAATATTTTATATGTTTTTAATCTTCTCCATACACTGATGGCCATATTGTCCTATCTTAGCCAGTGGAGACCTCTTTGTCTTTTGAACACAACCTCGTTAGTCTTTTATTGTTTCGTAGGTACCTGGTATAACAGGACATTCCTGTCATAGATGGGAATCAACATTTTTGTTACAATTCAGTGTCAAAGGATTCTGAGATGCAGTGTGGGTGCTGGGGAGACTGGTATGAGTCCCTAATTAGTAAGGGCCATTTTGATGGCCATAGTTGGAAGTACATGAAGAGCCAGAAATAAAATTTCATATAATACATACATAGTGTATTACATAGTGAGAATTTTTGTCATGAAATATGATATAAAGTATCTCACAGGTTCACATTAATACTCCCAGCTTATATTCAGGATTGAAAAGCTTTTACTTACCCTCTGTCTTACCTTTGCAAGAATATAAGGAAGCTAGAATTGCAGGGTCTCGTTCGTCATTTACTCCATCCCCTTCAAAAGCCATTTAAAATTTTCAGAGGCATAAGAAATATTTTCTTTATCAATAGGGTCTACAAACAGCTAAACATTTTCTGTATAGGCCCACGCCTTGCTCCTTTTATTTAAAAATCCTCTCTCCACACTGTCAGAATACTCAGCCGTTATCGACTCTGTCCTCTTCCTTACAGGCATCACTGAATTCCCCTTCTGGTGTCCTTGGTACTTACCTTCAGGCTCATATCAGTGTATCCAGTGGTTGTCTGTCTGAAACTTGTTCTCTAGGACATTCTTCTCAGAGAGTCTTTGAGGCCAGTGTTCTGGCATCTCAAAAGTTAAAACAGTTTATGGCTCTGTACTAAAAGTCAGATATACAGTCGTGTCAAAGTTTATCAAATTATAAACTTGGAATATGTGTAGTTTATGTTGATTATACAGTGAAGCTTTTGAAAGCACCTTGGTTCATACTTTCCTTACCTGAGTATCTCAGTTAAGTTACTCCATTCTGACATAAAGTTTTGGCATCCAAAAATCTGGTCTTAAGTGGCTATTTTTTCTAGATCACCCAAATAATTTTTCAGTTTTTAAAGTGATCCCATTGTCTTTCTAGAATCTTTTGTCTTAATATTTTTATTATTTTTTACATGTCATCTCTAGATCCTCAAACAGATTCTAAACCACCTGGAGGATTACTAGGACCCCACACAGACTGGCTAACATTAAATGTAGGCGGGCGGTACTTCACAACAACAAGGTAGGGTGTGTGTGTGTGTGTGTGTGTGTGTGTGTGTGTGTGTGTGTAGCTAGCATGAAAGCAACTATGTCTACTCTGTTTCCTTCAGTTTCCTGATTTCCTTAAGAGATGGTCGAATGTGTCTTTGTATGGTATGTGATGTGAAACCAGTTTTAGAAAGGTTTTTGAAGAAAAAAGTGAAATGAAGTTCACTTTCCATTCTAGAGAAAACATTACAAAGCATAAATTTAGCTTTGAACTATAGTAATAAACTTGGAATACAAGTAAAAATGAGCACTATTGAAATTTCTAGAGGCTACAGTAGCTTAATGTGATCAGATAATGTAAGGTTAGCAATGTTGTAATATTGTGTCTTGCTAGAAGGATATGTTACTATTTAAATTAAACTAAAGCAGTATTTAGATCAGAGGACTTGCAGGTCAGAGAACTTTTGGCCACTTACTGCATGTTTTTGTTTCCCAGCGTTACTCCTACCCGGTTGTAGCGTGCGTCTTTGTGAGAGAACAGCTGAGATCAAGTAGACTCTTGACTTAAATATGTTTGTTTGTAAAGACACATGGAGAAATCCATTTTTTTCCCTGAATTCTTAGGAGCACTTTAGTGAATAAGGAGCCTGACAGCATGCTGGCCCACATGTTCAAGGACAGAGGTAAGTGTGCGTTATGTTGTTTCCCAACTTCTGTGATCACCCTGTATCTGAGATGACATCATCACTCTTGACCTTCTGGACTGTTCAGTGGAGTAAAATAATTTTTACAGGAGTAAACCCTTGCTGGTATATTATGCAATGTTTCTTCCACAAATTCTAACCTTATTTTTGTTTATGGGGGGATTTCTATATTGAAATGGTATCACAGGTGTCTGGGGAAATAAGCAAGACCATAGAGGAGCGTTCTTAATTGACCGAAGTCCTGAGTACTTTGAACCCATTTTGAACTACTTGCGTCACGGACAGCTCATTGTAAATGATGGCATTAATTTATTGGGTAAGTTTAAATATATATGAGTACTGTAGAATAGACATAAATAGAGATAGATAGTCCTTCAGGTCTGTTGCCTTTGCATATAGCCATATATATCTAGCCTATATAAATTGTTAATTTATATTCTAAATAGGTTTAGATTCTGCCACAGGGTATTTTAATAGATTCATAATATTTTTGTGACTTAACCACGACTGTGATCTGGCTTTAAGTTATGGTTATTATTTTCTTAAAAGAATTTTATGTATTTGTTATTTTATGTGTATGAGTGCGTTTTTGCCTGCATGTATGTAAGTGTAGTACTTGTGTGCGTTGCCAGTGGAGGTCAGAAGAGGGTGTCAGATCCCCTGGAACTGCAGTTACGTATGGTTGTTAGCTGTCATGTGGGTGCTAGGAATTGAACCTGGGTCTTCTGCCAGAGCAGCCAGTGCTTTTAACTGCTGAGCTGTTTCTCCAGCCCCTGGTTATTATTATTGAGGAGTAGAGTGGTGAAAGGGGAAACCAATTTTTGACTCACTAAGAGCATAGTAATGAGCAAGGCTTGGTGGTGCACGCCTTTAATCCCAGCACTTGGGAGGCAGAAGCAGGGGGATCTCTGTGGTCTACATAGGCCAGCTGGGACTACAAGGAGACTCTGTCTTAAACAAGCAAATAAAAAGAGACTATAGTAATGCTTCAGTCTTACAATTTATTAGATTATTAAGGTGGGGAAAGTTTCTTTAAGATCATTTGGACAAATGACAATTAAAATTTTCTCATCCCTACCTGCAGCACATGATTTTTGTGAAGGTTCAAGGAGATGATTTGGCCAAAACCCACATATTTTGTGCGTTTTGTAGTGATATGTATTTAAAGCTTACAGGTTTCTGCATTAGTCAGTTATATATTACTAAAACAAAGTAAAGGAGTCATGTAATATATACAGAGAAAGGATTTATTCAGCTCATGGTTCTTGACGTTCAGCGTCTTCAGGTCAGGTAGATGTTACTGGCTTAGCATCTGAGGAGGGCAGCAGATAGTGGCATATCGTGGTGGTTCTCATGATGACAGCATCTTGATTCTGAATAGACAAAGACCAAGGCTCCACAATCTCAGATCATATGTTCACATCACACAGTAAATCTATTTTTATATATGTGTATATGTGTGTAGCTCTGAATCTTTAGATGTAACAGGAGAAGACAAGAAAGTAGAAGGGGAAGGGGCAAAGGAGTTCTAGAGAAGAGAACAGAACACAGGCTCCATCAAAGAGTGTATGGGGAAAATGGGGGAGGGGATTTTAACTGAGGAAGGGAATAATGTAGAAGGAGATAGAGGAAGGGGAGATTAGTACCAACAAGAATGTCTGGAAAAGTCATAGGGAAAGGTATTATTTTATAATCTTACTTAATATGCATGTAAAATGTGTGTGCACACACATAATAGATATAGGCCCTCTATCAAAAGTTCCAGTGCCTGGCATGGGAAACCTCCCTCCAAGTAGTTAGCCAGGGTAGGCAAAGAGACTCTTCAAACAATATAGACTATTGCCATTGCCTTTGGTTGCCTCCCAGAACCTGAAGGAAAGGCCTTATTGCTGAAAACCTATAACTGCCAATTTCCTAAACCAATATAATTAATACTTAGAAGAAACATTTCATTACAACAGCATTGACATATTCAATAACAATTTTCTAAGCTAAGACATATCTCTTTCAAAATTGGCTGTAAGTTTCTAGGTTTACAGTTGAATTAATACAGTTACACAATATTGAACTCAGTTTATAAGTCTTGTAAGACATAAAATTGAATGAGTTTTTAACCTTTGAAAAATAGCTCCATTTCATTTTAGAATATATTGTTCCTTGCAGAAAGACTCATTGTTTTTGCTACTAACACTGAGATGTTGGTGCTTGCATCTCAAAACTATATGTATCTGATTATTACTAGTCATAATCGGTTGCACTTGCATCCTTAGTACC